AGGCAGTTCGACACTGAAGAATAGCATGTAAAAAAATCCAAAAGGCTATAGAATTGTGCAAATACCCAGCAGAAAATGTAAAAGAGACACCAAGCCCGTCCCATCTCTGGTGGTGACTTAGAGGGTGGAATTATGTTTTTGTCTTTGGAATTATACTTTTCATAAATGCAGGCTTAAAACAGAAGGGGAGGAAGGAAGAATTGGACTTGCCCTCAGATGCTGGGGACACAGTCGGGTATATACTGGGAAAGGCACGTGTGCCAGTCTGCCCGTGTGCCAGTCATACGAGAAAAATGTCTTTCTCACAGAAGCCCTCATCAAGTAGTCGTGTTCGGAGGACACGTGCTATCAGGTTGCCCAGAGAGGTGGAGAGCTAAAATGTAAAGAGGACTTTTTTTTTTTTTCCCCCCTCAGAGTGCAAGTGCCTTTGTGATCCTGGCTTACTTGGATCATTTTATAGATGGGTTGTCTATTCATGCTTAGGCCACAAAGAGGAACATCTGGATTTTCTAACAAAACCTAACCCTGTGCCCTAATAGTATCAGGCCTAATGGCAATAGATGAAGAGAAACCAATCAGAATCCTTGAAATGTTCCAAAGCTACTCTGTTCTTCACCCATGAAAAAATATCATGCACAAAGCGTAATACAAAAACCCTTTAGAAGGAGAAAAGGTTACCCTTCTGTGGGTAGTGACTCTTAAATGCTGAGAAAAGGTTCTGATGTATTAGTAATATGTTATCACATTGAAGAGGTGGCATTTATGTATTCACAGAGGCTACATCATCCACATAAACAACTCCAGACATGGAAGAATTATGAAGGAACATCTATGCAAGCTCATATGTACCGAGCACTTATAGACGTAAATGACCAAAAATCACCATGGAAGAATTATGAAGGAACATCTATACAAGCTCATAATATGTACCAAGCACTTATAGATGTAAATGACCAAAAATCATGGGGAAACATATAATGAATTAAAAGGAAGCGGACATAAAATTTTTAGGAATTCAAAGGCCTGCATACAAAATAGAAAAAAGTTGAATGCAGACAAAAGTCTGTGGCTGCAGTGACAAAAGTTCCATGATTAGGGCCTCATCAAAACCACATTTGGTTGTGACAAAAAAAAACAAACTAAACCAAAACAAAAAACAAAACAGCAGACCCTAGTTTGCCAAACGTATGGGATTTGGCTGGTGTGGAGTAATTTTCTTCGTTGCAGCCCATATGGTGCCACGTTTTAGATCTGTGACTAAAACAGTGCTGATAGCATACGAATGTTTTGGCTAATATCAAGCAGTGCTTGCACAGTGTCAAGGCCTTCTCTGTTTCTCATGCTGGCCTCCAGCTAGTAGAATAGGGCTTGGCAAGAAGCTAGGATGGAACACAGCCATGACAGCCAACCAAAATTAACCAAAAGTATATTCCATGCCATAGATCATCATGCTCCACAATAAAACTGTGGGGGATTTTTAACAAAGCAGCCCTTACTGGGTGACTGTCTGGGCGTCAGTCTGCCTGTGGCTGGTGCCGAATGATTGCCTTTGCACTACTTCCTCTGCACCCATGACCCTCTTTAGTTAGTAAACTGTCTTTATCTTGACCCATGAGTTATTCTTACTTTTGCCCTTCCAATTATCTTCCCATTTTTTCCTGTGAAATGAAGCCTGAGTTGTTATAAACATCAAAGGAGACAGCAGCTTTAATACAGGAACCAATAAACAGGTACCTATGATAAACGAATGTTGTGATATACTTGCCTCTGCCCATCAGAATAGCTGCTGGGTGTAAGTCTCAAAATTCCAAAGTCCCACATACTGTAATTTTCTTTAGCAGGAACAGGAATAAAAGAAAATATCCCAGTATTGGGAATTTCTCTTGCCAAAGTATAAAGATATTTCCATTCAGCCAACCAGTTTTCCGAGTAACTGTCACCTGTCACATAGAGGAAGAAAATAATTTTGGATGCTGGAAATTAACAGTTACCACAAGATTGAAATGATATGTCTCCACCCATGTAAATGAAGAGGAAAAGTTAACATTATTGTCATGAGATATTTATACTTGCAGATCTTTTCTTAAGGCCTCAGTGAAAGTAATCCCATGCTGTGCAGACACCTGCACATAAGGTACACATGATGACCACTTGAGCATTGGTAGGAAAAGTGTCATTTTACCTGTTTCATGGTATCCCCAGACTTCTATGTTGATGCGGGTTGCTGCAAGTGCCTGATGTGTCCAGGTAAGAGTTAAGTTTCCATCAGTGTTAGGGGTGCCATAGTATTGCCATTTTGTAGTATTTACCAATGTGCATTTTTCTCCATCCAAAACTTTGCTGTGATGTACTGCATTACAGAACATTAAAAAAGAATTTATGACATTTCTGCTTTGCATAGCTCTGAAAAGGTGCTGTGATTTTATTTAAGATTTAGCAGTATTTCCCTGTGTATGTTTTCTAACACGATGCATGATATAAAAAGAGTAAGCTGAAGCTGAGAGAACACAACCCTTACTAATGTCTGTAGTCCTTAGATTGCAATACCATGATGCAGTTATTTTCTGATAGAAGTAGCTACAAAAAGGGAACAGTTTTGGTCAACCTCATTTTCAAGGAAGACTTTCAATGAATTAATGTTGCTGCTCCTTTATTGCTATATAGAGCAGAACTACATTGCTGTGAAAGTTCATCTCTAAAAATATGAGTTAACACAAAAGCAGGAAGAATGACTTTTCTGAGGTCATGTTAAGGAAGGAAAAAAGTAGTCAACAGTGAAAGGCTTATCTAATCTTACATCCATGAAGCTTGAATACAGAAAGAAGACAGATACCATACATTTAAGTAAGTAACCTGATAACCAAGTTCCAGAGTATGGAAATGTCATCCCATCATCTGTAGAAACTTCAAAAGGGATGAAACCAGTCTCATATAGCAATGGGGAGATGCAATGGGCCTTTCCATCCTTAGCAACATAGCCACTGGTTTTGATTTTCTCCTTGAACCTGTTGATGTTGAAAACACTTTTTAGTGTCACCACACAGAAGGAAAATTGGGAATGTCTCTCTTGTGCTTCATTAAGCAGACACGTGTCATGTGTAGATCATTCAAAGTCCTGTAGCCATTTTGCTTGTAGCAGTGAATATAAACTGGAAAAACTTGTGTGTACTTTGTGCTTATTACACCACTGCAGATTCTGCTGTGCACTGCACAAATACACAATCTGCAAGCCCTAGATTTACTGTTTAATTACTGGGGGAGTGGAGCATGATAAATTATCAACAAATAACAAGGGGGCAGCAGGAAGACAAGGGTGATGTTGTAGGATAAACAGAATTATAGGGTGGCTAACATTAAACATGACATGTAGGCATTGCAAATTTCTAGTTTTATGAGGGTGTTTTTGCTGCTAAGTCCTGTGAATACAACACAATCAATTTCATGTTTTTTCTAGAATTACTGTTGCAAAGTTTAGCTTGGAACATGTTGCTTGTTATTTAACCATCTGCTTCCAGTCAGGGCTCTTGCTCAGTGCGCTGAAGTGTAATCCCACCCGTGACTATTCAAGATTGATGTATAGTGACTGCATAGACACCATAGTATGGTGACTACTCCGAGGACCATAGTGAGTTGGGGCCTGCCAGGCAGTAGTACTTTGCTTGTCTGCATTGAATTTTGTATTGACTACGATAATGAAACTGTGTAATTCAAAGTACCCACATTGCGTTCTACAGAATGACTGGCTGGGTTTTCCCAGTGAAGAGCTAAAAACTTTTTTCAGGTGCTGCAGTTCAGGTGGGAAGGACTCTAATATCCCACTCAGAATCTTCTGTAGAAAAAATGTCAGGATATCGGGGTCAGCAAAATTCAGTGTACTGTATGTATCGCATGTGTGACATGTACCTAAGTGTGATACAGACTGACACACTTAGGGTTCCATTCAGCCAACCAGTTTTCCGAGTGACGGCAGGTGCGCTGGGGACGAGCTTGTGAGGGCGGCCCCAGGGAGACGCCCAGGAGCAGAGGGAAGGGGAGAGGGGAAGGAAGCAGACACCCTCACCAAGCGCCTCCGCAACTCGCCGTACCT